CCAGGAGTTGGAGGTTGCTGTGAGCATGATGCCATGGCACTCTACCCAGGGGGATAGCTTGAGGCTCCGTCTCAAAAAAAAAAGATTTATAAACCTCATTTTAAAATGAGAAAACCTACTAGCCGGACATTGTGACGAGCACCGATAGTGTCAGCTACTTGTAGGCTGAGGCATGAGCATCTCTTGAACCCAGGAGTTTGTGGTTGCTGTGAGCTATGATGACACCACGGAACTCTATCTAGGGCAATAGAGTGAGACTCTTGTCTCAAAAATAAAGAAATAAAATAAAAAATAAGAAAATCTGAAAAGGACAATTTAAAACATAAAACAATGCTGTTCTTTTGTAAAGCATGATATAAGTGCTACAGCAGAGTTTGAATCAGGACCAAACGACTCCAGAAGCTGTAGAAACACAAACCAGAAAGAAAAAAATGTATATACACACGTAGATGGTTTTAAAGGTTGTAAGAAAGGTCAACCGATGTGTGAATGGGGCAATTTAGATACTTCTGTTCACAAACCCAAGTGAGAAAATAAGAGTTGAAGAAAATGACTGCAAGAGGAAATGGGTATGGGGACCTGGTGGAGGAGAGAAGTGTGCATTGACCGGAGGATTTCAGATAAGACCTGGTGGTTTGGTTTCTTTCTTCTTTTTTTTTTCTCTTTCCTCCTTTTTTTGGGCCCATCTTCATTGACAAGCATTCAGTTGGCTGTTCTTTTCTGATCTGCAGTTTTGATGGAAGGAGTCCTCTAGTGAATCCTTCTCTCATACCTCCCTCCAGCTCTTTGAAAGTGAATCCCTAATTATAGGCCTTGTTGCATATTGACTAGATGAAATCAACAGCTGTAGATGTGACACCAGGCTGCAAAAAAAAAAACGGGACACACTGTTGCCATAAAAAGCCCAATTGTTAATTGCTTCTTTGGCATCTGGCTATAACCAAAAACACCCTTTTGCTGTTTAATATTAAAAGCAAATGTAGTGGAAAGAACATTAGGCTAGAATTAGGGGAGGCTGGGATCCTAGTTGCAGCTCTGTTACCAAGAGCCTGTGATTAAGGGACAAAATATTTCACATCTCTGGGGCGTTGGTGTCCTTATCTTTAAAATTGAGGACATCAAAAAATAAAAAATAAAACTGAGGCCATAAAACCAAATTATCTCATTCAGCTTAAAAGTTCTCTTCTGAATCTGGAAACTGCAGTGTACTCACTCCCATCCAGCCTCTTCCCAAAACTTTCTCAATAACCTAGTATAATTTCATAATTTTGTGGTGCAATCAAGAATCACATAGAGATATAAGCAACTGCACGGTCTGGGGGTGCAAGCAGCTTTCCAATATTATTCTGAACCAAAGTTTGCTACAAGGCCCCACAATTCTCAACTGTTTTGGAAATGCAATCCACCAGAGCTCGATTTTTAGTATGGCAGTCTTGTTTTACTCTTGAAGAGCGGACCTGAAATGTTCATGAAGATTCTGGCAGGTACCATTTTGGATTCAGCAGTCATAGCCATGAGTCAGGAAGGGCAGTGTGGGGTGTGAGCCCAGGTGCCTCCAAATGTTGGCCTTCTGCATATGCCCATTGTACAGGATCTGGGGGGCATGGCCCGGTTTTTCATTTTATTTCCCTACCTCGAGTGCCTGCTCCCCTTTCTCTGTTGCCTGCATTCGTTGTCTCCTGGTACTCTGAGCTGCTAGCAGCTTTGGCCTCCTGCTTTCCTGGGCTTGTTCTTTATCGTTTATTTACCTAGTTGCTGACCCACGTGGGACAACCTTCCCTCACATTCAGGAGGGTTTGCCTGCCCCTATTCTGGCCAACCACAGGGTGGGAGCCCTGACTTCTAAGCCACATGATAGTGGTTTACGTGCAGTTAATGACATCCACCATTTGCCTCTCTTGCAGGAAAGTCAAAAGGCAGATGGGGAAAGAAACAACCTTTACCTGTTTAAGCCCAGCTCCTGTGTTTTAACTCAGAGGAGCTAGCTGGCAGCAATCCATTTCCTTGTCCCTAGCTTTCAGGCTTGTGGCTGATTGTGTGAACTTCTGGTATGCTCCCTGAAAGAACAAAGCAGCATTCAGTCTCTCATCTTTGGGGATCCAGTTAACGCATCTGTTTGTTACCTCTTTTTTTTTTTTTTTAAGAGACAGAGTCTCACTTTATGGCCCTTGGTAGAGTGCTAAGGCATCACAGCTCACAGCAACCTCCAACTCTTGGGCTTAGGCGATTCTCTTGTCTCAGCCTCCCAAGTAGCTGGGACTACAGGTGCCCGCCATAATGCCCAGCTATTTTTTTGTTGCAGTTTGGTCAGGGCGGTTTTGAACCCACCACCCTCGGTATATGAGGCGGGCACCCTACCAACTGAACCACAGATGCCACTCTGTTTTGTTACCTCTTAACAGAGTAACAATCCACTCCAGAATTTAGTGGCTTAAAGCAACGCACAAACAGTGCGTTATTTCTCATGATTCTGCAGTCTCGACTGGACTTGGCTGGGCAGATCTTCTGATCTTCATGGTGCATGCTTGGACTGAAATGTCTAAGGTGGCCTTTCAGTCATCTGCCTCAGCTGGGATGACTAGAATGTAACATCTGGTTGAGGGTCTCTCCACCTGCCCGCACCACTTGACTGTCTTGGGCTTCCTCACAACACAGTGGTCTAAGAAAGTGGTTCTCAACCTTCCTAATGCTACCGACTTTTAATACAGTTCCTGTGGGTCGTGACCCACAGGTTGAGAACTGCTGCTCTAAGGTAATCAGACTAGTATTTTTACATTGTGGCAGGCTTCCAGTTTCTGGCTTCTAGCTTCTCCTGAAAGTCTAAATTGGCATTCTCTCTTCTGCATTCTATTGGTCAAAAAGAATCATAGACCAGTGTAAATTCAAGAATAGGGGAAGTAGATTCCACTTCTTGATAAAAGGAACATCACGGGCGGGGGTGGGGGGTGTGTGATGGTTCGAGGGGAGGAATTGATGGTGGCTATCTATGGAGATTATCCTCCATGCCCACTCTGATGTCATAGCTCTTGATTTATTAATCTTCTCTTTTTATGCCCAAATTCAACATTCTTTTAAATTCTTATTATATGCAAAAAGCTGTATATAATCTATACTACAGCTTGGTTATTTTGGAACTAAGGATACACCCATGAAATCATCCCCACAATCTATGCCATAAACCTATCCATCACCTCCAGAAGTTTCCTCTGGCTCTCTTACCTAGTATTATCAGTATTATCTTTTTTTTTTTCTTTTTGAGACAGAGTCTCACTATGTGGCCCTGGGTAGAGTGCTGTGGTGTCACAGCTCACAGCAACCTCAAACTCTTGGGCTTAGGTGATTCTCTTGCCTCCGCCTACCAAGTAGCTGGGACTACAGGC